AACCTTTTATTTAAATTGCTTAAGATTTATGACTTACACTTTGCTCTGTTCAAATTCCAAAGACGAGTGTCACTCTGATTGTTTGAAGAGCGTGCTCAGTAAATTTGAGAGTCTAAGGGGGTCCCGGGGAGTGGGTCTCTGGCTCCCTGTCTTGACTTGAATAATCCTTTCTCCCACCGTGAAGTGGTGACCCTGATGTGACGGTCTTCAGCCGCAGAATCCACACGTTTCAGGAGGAAGAGAAGAGAAAATCGTATGGACTTCAAAAAAACTTCATCCCGGTAAGGGACAGCAGCGCCTCTCTTGGGATAGCTGCCAACATGTCTGGTACTCAGGGAGAGCTCTCTTTCTCTTTTACATATGGGCCAACAAATGACTAGAGAACAACTCCTTTATCTTAGGACCTTACAACAGCTTTTAAAAGCAGCCCATTGCACGGTGTCTGAAGACCAACTGGTTAAACTGCTTCAAACTGTGCATGAAATTTGTCCCTGGTTTCCAGACCAAGATTTAGAATTATGGGAACAAGTTGGAAGAACTCTAAAGAGAAAACATGACTGGGGGAAAAGGTTCCCACCTACATATTAGTAACCTGGAGTTTAGGTCCTACAGCCTCTATGTTTCCCCTTCCTGCTCCTGCCCTGCCCTGCCCTCTGCCCCACCATTTGTAGAAAATGATCTTCCTTTTCCGCCTCCTCCCACTAAATTAGTAAAAAATACAGAAATGGAGAAACCGTCTGTCATGCAACAATGGGCCTCATGCTTTCCCGGTTATTGCTATTCCTGGGCAGCTGCCTAGACATGAAGCCCACCCTTTTGCTGTGTGCAAGGAGTTAAGACGAAGTATTGCTGAGAACGGCATACACAGCTCTCTTACTAAAGGCATAATTGAGGCTATAGGAATTGGATATACCGTGCGTGACTCCATGGGATTGGAAAGCCTTAGTTAAAACTGCTCACCCCTGCACAACATGCTGCATTGCGCAATCCACATGTAATTTTGATCTGGGCATTCCTCTCAGGGCTGAAACGCTTCAAGGCATTGGACAGTATGCAATGATCCAACGCCAAACACAGGTAGATTGCAGAGTTTTTCCACAATGCTCCACTATTGCAGCCTGGTCTCGAGTGCCCGATACTAAAGAAAAAACTGGCTCCTTTGCCACTATGAGACAGGGAGCCACCGAGCCCTATGCAGATTTTGTTAATCGCCTACAACAAAGCATTTCCAGACAGATAGATAATGAGGAAGCAGCCCCGGATTTACTTCAACAAATGGCTTATGAAAATGCTAATGCCGATTGCCCAGCCGCTCTATCCTGTATACAGACTCAAGCTCCAGACATTGCTAAATTCATCAAAGCTTGTCAAAATGAGGGCACAAAAACACACAAATACTAGCGGCTTTAATAAAACCCTCACTAAACTCTCACACCTGCTTTAAAGGTGGCCCCTCAAAGAGGAAAAACTTATTCAAGCTATCTCACTAGTTCAGCAACAATTAGAAGCTGGACATACCGAGCCCTCTATGAGCCCCTGGAACACTCCTGTTTTTACCGTTCCTAAAAGGTCAGGAAAACGGCAATTACTGCATGACCTTCGGGCTATTAACGCTATTCGTCAGCCAGTGGGGGCATCACAACTTGGTCTTCCTGACCCTGCTTTAATTCCTGCAGACTGGCCTGTTACTGTTGCCGAGCTCAAAGATTGCTTCTTTATTATGCCTTTAGCTGAACAAGACCGTGAATGCTTTGCGTTCTACCTTAATCTAACAATCGGGCCCCCTAGCTCATTATCAATGGTGGGTTTTATCACAGGGAATGATTAATAGTCCCACAATTTGTCAGTATTTTGTACATCAAGCTTTACTACCCACCTGTAAGGCTACTCCCTCCTGTCTGTCTATCAACATTGGCAGATCTCTCTCTGAGAACAAGGACTTCAAAAAAGTGGCTCCAGGAAAGATTCAGATTCAAACAAACACCCGGGCGATATTTAGGCCAAATAGTCTTCAGCTGAACTATTCGGTCTCAGCCTATTATCTTGGACACTCCACACTTACATACATTAGATTCTCAAAATTTTAGGGGCCATTCATTGGATCCACCCTATCTTGGCAATTACTATGGGACAACTTTCCAATTTATTCAATATCCTCAAGGGAGCTAATGCCTTAGATTCTCCCCAAAGCTTGACTTCGGAAGCTAAAAAGCAAACAGCTCTCAGTGAAGAGGCCATCCGACAGCGGCAGTTGCACAGAAGGCAACCAGGCTCTCCTACCTATTTCCATTTCCTACCTTCCGTACCCAAACAGGGTTATTAAGACAATTAATGGATGGTATTCAGTGTTCAGAATGGATATTTCTATCTCAGTCCCTTAAAAAAAAACTCTTACTTCATACCACTTATTGATCTACTATATAAAGGCCGATACTGCTGTCAACAATTAACTGGTTACAACCCAGATATAATTTACCAAGGAGTCTCTCTAGAGGGCCTCCAATAGTTATTTGCACAATCTCTAGACTTTGAGGCCACGATAGCTGACTTTACAGGACAATATATATATTCACTACTCTCTGATAAATAACTGCAACAAGTAGCCCTTATTAATGTCACTATACCTCAAAAGGTTGTGTCTACACCTCTTCATGGCGCTATTACCGTCTTCACTGACGGCTCTGAAAAAACAATCTGCCATGGTTTGGTTTGACCAAAAATGGCACAAGGTAAGTTCTATAGGACAAGCCTCTACACAAGGAGCAGAACTTAAGGCTGCCATTACGGCACTCCACCATTTCTCTCACCAGCCTGCTAACCTGGTCGCTGATTCACAAGACGTAGTTTAGAACAAGCCTCCATCAAAGAATTAACTGATTTTTCCCTCCTTTCCCTTACTTTGCAGTCTCTTACAGACAAATGACAACACTCTCTCTTTGTTACACATGTTAGATCTCATACAAATTTACCTGGTCCCTTAACCACTGGTAATGCCAGTGCAGATCGCTTTGTTGGTTACAAAATTTTTTATAAGTCTCTTGTTAAACAATTCCAGTTAACTACCTCAAGCAAAACAAATCATTTCAGCCTGTCCATGTTGTCAATCATCATCTGGAGGACAAAAGTCTTGGGGAGTTAATCCCTGTGGCCTAAAGCCCAATCAAATCTGACAAACTGATACATCTCCTCCAAATTCAAACTTTTCTGTCAAAACTGGGAATTACAGCATACTACAGGTATCCCTCACAATCCCACCAGACAAACCATTATAGAATGTACTCACTCTACATTAAAATCTCAGATTAAAAAATGAAAAAGGGAGAATACACCTGGTATGTCCTTCTCAGATATATTACACAAAGCAGTATATACTTTAAATTTTCTGAATTGCGATTCTCAAGGCCTCACAGTGGCAGATTGCCATTTAATATATCAGTAGCCTCTATAAGAGCAAAAGTATTAGTAAAAGATGCGACACATGAAAACAATTCCTGGGAAGAACCTTATTAATTAGTGACCTGGGGACAAGGATATGATTGTGTTCTCTTACCTACAGGACCACACTGGACCCCCGCCCATTCTGTCAAGCCCTACCATGAGCGGGAGACATCAGTCCTGCAGTCCTCTTCCTTAGATGGCCAATCTCTCCCTCCAAGACTGTCAAGTGAAACCGTGTCAGAGAACGGCTAAAGCTGCAGATGTGACCTGGGGACAACTTAAAAAACTCAATCAACAAGCCACTGAAGTCATGCAATGGGTTGGAGCACCTCCCACTCTGGAGAACAGGTTCTTAGCGTACTTAGCAGTGGTATCACAAAACTAAGGTAATACCATTTCTGCTCTTTTTCTTTTTATCCCCTCAGCACGGCACACATTATCAACCCTCCTCTCTACAGACGTGTTTCCTAGTGGGACACTGATCCTCCTCTAAGCAGCAATGACACCCGGTGAGCAGGAGGCACTTGGCTCCCACCTCAAGGACACCTTCTGGAACAATGTGATTGGTTAACTCTGAACGATTCTCTTTTTTCTCCCCTTCCTCCAGTATATTTTACAACCATCTATACACCTAATTGTCTATCAAATCTTGGACCTATTTATATTATCTCCCCAAAACTGATCATCAAAAGGCCAACCTTACCTTTGTTGTTGCAGCAGCAGCAGATGCAGACATTCCATCCAATCATTTGACCCCTCCACCTGTAAATCACTATCAGATGACTAGGGTCTGGTCTCCTAATAGCCACAGTTTCCCTTTCTAAATCTATACACAAAGCAAAAATTGTAAATCACGTCATGGTATCATTACTCATGCTATGCTTGCTCAAACCCAAATAGATAAAGGCATTATGCAAAGATTACAAGCAGTTGAAGCATTTCTTCAATGGCCTGGCGATACAACAAGCCCTTACTGACATACAGTGTGTGACTGGCACCATGACAAAATATGTGTCACCCCCTTGCTCTATAACCAAATCCCAACATTCCTGGGATTTGGTTAAAAGGCATTTACAGGGAGCACTCTCCCCTAACCTTCAGTCCAACAGACGCTCTGTCTACCCAGTTACATCAACAACTGCTTTATACACAAAAGGAAACTATCAAATGTTGAACAAGAAATGTCTGATAATTTAAAATGGCTAAACCCCACCCATTAGTTTCACAGCATCAACCTACCTATTTGAATTATTGGAGCTTTTCACTTGTAAATCCTTTTTGTTTTCTCTATGGTCTGCAAATTGATCTTCTCTGTGATTACTGCCTCAAAGCGCCAAAATCTGATGATCTCCCTTCTCCAATCAAGAGTTCCCAATAAAAACTTAAACAAAAGAGGGGGACATGTGGGAGCACAGTCATGGGTTAATAAGTTGTAGGGCTGCACTGCACGGGGCAGGGAACAGCAGGGCAGGCTTCGCTTATCTAGAACAGGCTGTCTTTGATTCATGAGATTCCTAAGCCTCCCAGCCCTTTCATTCTCTCTCAGCATATCTTAACCTAGAACAGTTTATTAACCTTTTACTTAAATTGCTTAAGATTTGACTTAAGCTTTGCTCTGTTCCAATTCCAAAGACATGTCTCACTGATTGTTTAAAGATCCTGTTCAATAAATTTGAGAATCTAAGGGGGGTCTCGGAGTTGGTCTCTCGCTCCCTCTCTTGACTTGCTATAGTCTTGAATAATCCTTTCTTCTCCTGTGTGCTTTGGTGGCTAAAACCCACACTTATTTTTATATATATACTGCCTACCAGAGACTTGTTTCAGATCTAAAGACACACAGACTTAAAGGAATGGAAAAAGATGTTCCATGTAAATGGAAATACTTATATACCAGGCAAAATAAACTATAACAAGTGACAAAGAAGGGCATCACATAATAAGGCTATCAAACAAGTATAAAACAGTTGTAACTATCTATGCACCCAACCTAGGAGCACCTAAATACATAAAACAAGTATTAACAGACATAAAGAAAAAAATGATAGCAATATAGTAATAATAGGAAACTTTAACACACCACTTACCTTAATGGATAGATCATCCAGACAGAAAATCAGTAAGGAACCAGAGGTCCATCTGATCTAATGCGTCATTTGAACCAAACAGGTAACTAGAGAACATTCCATCCAAAAACAGAATACACATTCAAGTGCACATGGAATAATTCTCCAGGACAAATCACATGTCAGGTCACAAAACAAGTCTTATTAAGTTAAGAAGACTGAAATCATATCAAGCATTTTTCTGTAATGAAACTAGAAATAATTTACAGGTAGAAATCTGAAAAAAACCACATGTGGACCACTGAAGAGATCAAAGAGAACATTTAAAAAACCCCTTGAGATAAATGAAAGTGGAAACACAACAATCCAAAATTTATGGGATGCAGCAAAAGCAGTTCTAAGTGGGAAGTTTACAGTGATACGGGCTAACCTCAGGAAAGAAAGAACTTAGCCTACCTAAACTTACAATTTACAGGTGACGCCACAGAAATATGAAAGATAACGGTTTACTACAAATAATTAATACACCAACAAACTGAGCAACCTAGAAGAAATGGATAAATTCCTACATACACTTCCAAGACTAAAGAAGATACAGAAAATCTGATCAGACCAATTGCTAATATGAAGTTGAATCAGTCATAATAAACTCCCAACAAACAAAAGTCCAGGAGCAGACAGATTCACTGGTGAATTTCACCTCTTCTTTAAAGGTTTGGTACTACTTAACCTTCTCAAATTATCCCCTTCCCCCAAAAAAGGAGGGGAAAGAAGAATTCTAAACTCATTCTATGAAGTCAGCATTACTGATACCAAAACCTATAAAGACACTATAAGAAAGGACAATTACAGGCCAATATTGCTGATGAACACAGGCAGTCCACTATTTGACTATGGTCTTAGCATGGTCTCTGCTTCTTCAGGCAAGGGCCACAAAGGCAAAAATAAATAAATAAATAGCACTACATTGAACTAATGAGCTTTCGTACAGTGAAGAAAACTATCAACCAAACAAAAGGTCAACCTACTGAATTGAAGATATTTGCACATGATATACCTGATAAGTAGTTAATACCCAAAATATATTTTAAAAAATCATAGATCTTGGTATTAAAAAATCCAATTAAAAAGCACAGAAACTGTATAGACATTTTTTCCAAAGAAGACATACAAATGGTTGACACATGAAAAGTTGTTCAATATCACTAATCCTCAGGGAAATGCAAATCAGAACTCCAAAGAGACATTGCCTCCTACCTGCCAGAGTAGCTATCATCATCTAGACAAAAATAAGTGTTGGTGAGGATGTATGTAGTACAAGGGAAGCCTTACACAGTGTTGGTGGTAATGTAATTTGGTGCAACCACTATGGAAAACAGTATGGAGATTCCTCAAAAAAATTATTAGTACACTACCATATGATCCAGCAATTCCACTCCTGGGTATTTATCCAAAGAAAACAAAATAAAAATTACAAAAAAGATGTACTTCTAAGTTTGTTGCAACATTATAATAGCCAAGATATAGGAGCAATCTAAGTGTCCATAGATTACACATACAGAATATACATATATGTACAATATCACTCAGCCATAAAAGTGAATGAAATCTTGCCATTTGCAACACTGAGGGGACTAGAGAGTTATTGCTAAGAGAAATAAGTTTAACAATGAAAAATACTGTATGATTTCACTTTTGTGTGGAAACTAAAAGACATAACAAATTGGTGGCCGTGAGAAAGGAGGGGGTGAGGGGTTGGGTGTAATGAGTCAAGGAGGTACACGCTTCCAGTTATAGAATAAGTCATAGGGATGTAAGGTGCAGCATAGGGAGTCTAGTTACAAATATTTTAATAACTTTGTATAGTGATAGATACTAGACTTATTGTGTATAAACGTCAAATTACTATGTTATACACCTGAAACAATATTGTAATGTCCACTATACTTAAATTAAAAAAAAAAACTCTAAAAAAAACCCACCTAGAATACCAAGACAAAAATGAATTTCACATCTTACTTGTATTTATGTCTGCCAGCATGAAAAAGTGCTCAATATCACTAATTATTAGAAATGCAAATCAAAACCACAATGAGGTATCACCTCATACCAGTCAGAATGGCCATCATCAAAAAGTCCACAAAAATAAATGCTGGAGATGATGTGGAGAAAAGGGAATCCTCCTACACTGCTGGTGGGAATGTAGTCTGGTGCAGCCATTATGGAAAACAGTACAGAGAGTCCTCAAAAAACTAAAAAAAACTTACCACATGATCTAGCAATCCCACTCCTGTGCATATATCCAGAGGGAACTCTAATGTGAAAAGATACATGTTCATAGCAGCACTATTTACAATAGCCAAGGCATGGAAACAACCTAAATGTTCATCAACAGATGACTGGATAAAGAGGTAGTATTATATTTACACAATGGAATACTATTCAGCTATTAAAAAGAATAAAATAATACCATTTGCAGCAACATAGACGGACCTGGAGAATGTCATTCTAAGTGAAGTAAGCCAGAAAGAGAAAGAAAAGTACCATATATCACTTACATGTGGAATCTTAAAAAAAAAACAGACAAATGAAAACACAATGGAATACTACTTATCCATAGAAAATAATAAAGTAATGCCATTTTCAGCAACATGGACAGACCTGGAGATCATCATTCTAAGTGAAGTAAGCCAGGAAGAGAAACTCTAATTTGAAAAGATACATGCACCCCGATGTTCACAGCAGCACTATTTACAACAGCTAAGACATGGAAACAATCTAAATATCCACTAACAGATGACTGGATAAAGTTGTGGTATATTTATAGAATGGAATACTACTCATCCATAATAAAGTATAAAATAATGCCACTTGCAGCAACATAGATGGACCTGGAAATTGTCATTCTAAGTGAAGTAATCCAGAAAGAGAAAGAA